TTGTCTGCATTGAACTTCATTCTGCTAGCTCTAGCCCAACTTTCCAATCTTCTAAATTGTGCTCATATCCTCCAACTTATATACAGTCCTTCCCAGTTTTATGTCATCTGCAAACTTGCTCAAGAAACTTTCTATGCCAGCGTCCAAATCATTAATAAACATGTTGAACAGCATCAGGCTCAAGACAGACCCCGGTGGGACTCCACTCAAAACCTCCTGCCATTCTGACATGGACCCGTAATAATTACCCTTTGCTTGCAGCTATTGAGCCAGTTATCTATTCACCTTACAGTAGTTTTATGTAGCCCACATTTCTCCAATTTGTTTATGACGGTCAATGCAGGACCTTGTCAAAAGCCTTGCTGATGTCCAGATACACTATATCCACAGCACTCCCTTCATCCACCCAAGTAGTTACTTTATTGAAAAAGATGATCAAGTTTATTTGGCAGGATTAGTTCTTAGTAAATCCATGCTACTCGTTATCAACCTTTCCTCTGTCACATGCTTTCAAATGGCTTTCCTTTGGATATTATCTAGTACCTTCCCAGGTGTTGAAGTAAGGCTAACCAACCTATAGTTCCCCAGGTCCTCCTTTTTGCCTTTTTTAAAGACGGGGACTACATTGGCCCTTTTCCAGCCCTCTGCCATGCTACTGTGCCATGCTGCCTCCTCAACCAGAAGCAGTATACCCATATCTGTGCAGGGCTGTGGGTGGGTGAAATAGCACTTCTGAATGACAGTGCCAGTTGGCTTTCCCTCTGCTTAACTCACCTACAGTACTGGGCAGTCACAGCTATGCTGCTTCTGGTTTAGGAGGCAATTTGCCTGGAAGTAGTAACATAACTGTGCAGGGGAATGAGACACAAGAGGGCCACCAGCCCCTAATGCCAACTTAAAGGGGATGCTGGAACAGTTTGAAACTTGTTAGTTAGGAACCTCTGCCTAGAAGAGTGGCCAGCATGCAGGTACCATTAAAGAGGATAGGTAGCTTGCTGATTAGACACAGCCTAACTTCATATTTTGGTTCTGGCCTCAAACCTTTTTTTAGCAATGGTCTTATCCTGACAAGGATTCATATGTGAAACAGGAGTCTTAGTAGCAAACTGGAAGATACCTCACCATAAAACTGAAGATAGCATAATGCCTAATCCATCGATTTTTGACTGAGCCAATAATCAGTGCTTCTGTCTGTCTTGGCTTTAGTTTCATCAAGTCATAGAACAGATATTGTCAGATGACTAAGAAATTAGCTGTTAGAAGAAAATTTCTATTTACCACTCTGATCCAAAAATAACATTAGTAGTGTCATAGTATCATTGAAAATGAGGGTTGGAAGGGACCTCAGGAGGCCATCTAGTGCAACTCCCTGCTCAAAGAAGTGACTTGGTCATCCCAGCCAAGGCTTTGTCTAGCTGGGTCTTAAAATCTCAAGGGTGGAGACTCCACAACCTTTCTGGGTAACCAGTTCCAGTGCTTCACCACCCTTCTCTTGAGAAAGTTTTTCTTAATATCTAACCTAAACTTCCCGTCTTGCAACTTGAAACTATCGCTCCTTGTTCTGTTATCTGCCACCACAGGGAACAGTTGAGCTCCGTCCTCTTTGTAACCACCCTTCAGGTAGTTGAAGGCTGCTATTAAATGCCCTCTCAGTCTTCTCTTCTCTAGTTCCCTCAGCCTCTCCTCATAAATCATGTGTCACAAACCTGACCATTTGTGTTGCCCCCCACTAGACTCTCTCCAGTATCACCTACATTTCTATAGAAGTGCAGA